AAACGTGTCGTGAAGTGATTGAGATGGAAACAGCTATGCAGCAGTCAGTGACAGTGAACCACTGCACAGAGCGCCCACCCTCTGACCCGCTGACTCACATCCAATAAATGAACTCACTTCAGCCAAAGAGGAAGAAAAACCAAGAGGTCTCACTGCGCCACGAAACATATCACACTATCCTGAGATCAATGGCAACCCCCCGGGTTGGTGTTCACTTGAACAGACCTGGCTTGGTCCAATGTGCTCCAGGCTCTGTGAATGTATGATCCGTTCTGTGACTTTTTCTCTCCCTTTAGGAAACCCCCCGCAAGAAACTCATGTGCAGGCACCCTTTTGACTCTCAAAAACACACAATGAAATCTATTCTGATGCAAATGATATCACTGGTACAGGCAATGTAATGTAATGTAATGACTGCTCTGCTCTCTCTGTTGAAACCCTCGGGACGTCTGGCTACACCTGTTTAAACCCACAGAAAGAAGTGCTGTGATTGACTTTTTTTACTTTGTTTTTTTGTGAATCTTTTGTGTGAAGTAGCAGCTCTATTCAGGTCAGATTTTAATCACACGATTTTCTGACATGCATAGGAAATCACTACCAACATCAGGGCCGGTAAAAGAAAAAAGGGAACCGACACATTTCATTTTGTTCATACTCTCTGTTCATGCAAAGACAATTGCAGGACATAGGCTCGGCACTGCAGTGAACTTAATTATACAAAATGTTTATTTGTGTTCCAAACTAAGTTATTATTAAAAGAGCATAATGTCTCATTTGTAGAAATTGTATTGTGCATGGACAACTGTAGAGATAATTCACAGAAGGAGTAAGAAACAAACCAAACTAGAGGGTGGGACAACGTTTTTTTAAAGCACCGAGTGAGTCCTCTTCCTCATGACAAGATCTTTGGCTTTTTGGCTCCAAAGTTCAGCCAATAATAATGTTTGCATTTTACGTCACTTCCTGCTTCGACCCGTGCTAAACAATAAGTGACAACAGCCATACTGAAACGTTAACTAAACAAGACACACAGGAGCTGTCATTATAATCCGGTATTACCAACACATGTATAACTACAGTAACAGCTCCGTGTCTCACTAGAGGTTTACGACACTTTAGCAGCGAGTTAAACGTTAGCTAACTAGCATTAACTCGCTCTGTAACAGCCAGTCTACTGCGTAATTGCTCCTTGACTCATTTTCCAGACATGAAATGCTAATGTGCAGGTGCGAGGACACGTGTCAACCAAATGAGATCGCATATGAAACCCCCCTAGCGTGAGTCAGACTAAGAAGTAAACCCCCTGGCAGCGACGTCTGATAGCTGCTCCAGCTAATTTAATGCTAATGTTGTCACAACGCAAAGTCTGACGTTATCACCTCGAGCTTTCTCTAGAAAGCATTCACACAAACATGTCAGCAGTCCTACCTGAACGGACTGCGTCGCACGACCTCTTTCTTCGGGTTTCTGCAAAAAGGAAAAAGCTCAGAATCATCTCATGCCTGCTGCCGGCAGAGAGTCGCATCAGAGTCCTGCTGTCATTTCATTTCCGCATGTCTTGGAAAGTTTCGTTTACTTAGAAATGGGCGGCATCTCAAAAACAAGTTAACTTTCTGAATGATTCATATCAGTAGTTTTATATACTGGCAGTTTTCATGCACAGGTGTGGAAAGTAGTCACTAATTAGTACTGTCATTACTGTAAACCAAGTAGCTTCGACAACCTTTTTCTTGTGACACGCATCAATCATTTATTATCAAGCATATACTTTTTTTAACAGAAGAACAGAGTAGCAATGTGTTTTTGCACAATCCAAGTGGGAAGATGTGCTTTTTTGGATATGATTGGCTGGAAGATGAAATGTGGGATTCTCCTCTTGTATTATTATTATTTTTATATTTTGAATAAACATGTTTCTGCTTTCTACAGGCATGTTGCCTTATTGTCTTTGCGTGCCCATTTACAGTGAATGGTAGACATGTCTAATGGTTACCGTTGAAAAGCTGAAACACCTGTAAACAATATAATATAAATATAACTATAAATCATCCTTGCCATAAAAAAAAATGCCAAATCATACATATTCACACACGAGTTTAAACTTTGAACTACAGAATTATTTATTTAGGTGATTGGTTGTGATGTATGAATAAAGAGCATAAAAATGCACTGTGATTATTATGTTATTTGTTGAAAAATCACCAGAGAAATCTCAGAAAAAGGGATCTGGTGACATATGCACAGGATGCATGCTTCATTTCCTCTTTAAGGATTAGTAATCACTGCTCCGCTCTCTCTTTGCTGAAGCCCTCGGGCCTTCTGGCTACACCTCGAGGCAACAATTAGCCTGAATGTTTACACGCACAGAGAGCAGCACGTTTGTTGCACTCTGGCCAAACATGTTGTTTGTCGCACTTTGTCTCGTCACACTTAAGTTTCTGTGTGTGCTCTCCTTAGAAATGATGTAACAAATAAATACACAGTCAAAGACGCATACTGTGTGTTGTGTACACATTGTTCCTGTGACTTCTCAATAAAGGGAAACATGCTCAACCTGCAGATGTACATTGTGACACGTTCAGAGTCCTGCGATGCCTGTGGGATGACCTTTCACTCTGTTACGAGCTGTGCCTCTCTAACAACTCTCACATGACACCCACTTCTCACTTTGTGTTGCATGCAGTCGTAGAGTAATGGAGGCTCAACACCAGACTTGTTTTAGGATGCTATGCTCTTAAATTGTCAGCAGAGGGCAGAATAATCTGAAGGATTGGGTACGAATGTGCCACAGAGTGGGGAAAGAAAAAAAGATTTCAATCTTTGTCTGCCACAAAGGATTTCACCCGTGGACACTGCTCTAAAAAAAAAAAAAAAAAAAAAAAAAAAATCAGTCACCTAAGTTATCTTTCTAAAACACCTATCTTGAGTGTTTCATTTTGCGAGGGTGCGTTTTCATGGTAACTTGGACTGCACTCCCAGGTCAGGAGTGTTTCACATTCAGGCCGTCAGATCCAAAAGGTATTGAAATGTCTTCACCATGCGACTTGTATGTAAAAGTAAAAATAAGGAGCAAAGAATGTATTTTCCAAAACATACTGAAACACCTGTGTGCATGAGACAAGTTAAGAATAAAACTGCTCGGATAGTATTTAGATAAGAGCAAGAGGAGCTGTTTTGAGGGTGTTTATTGGCTCAGATGCAGTATACAAGAAGCATGTCAAAGTCTACTGGGCTGTAAATAAGAGCTTACATGGAATAGCAGGTGGCGTATACAGTTATTAATGATGAATGTATACATGTCTTTTTACTCTTTCGCTGCACAGTGTTTTAGTTTCGCTCTCATTTGTATATTATAATTATTTGTACTCAATGTAAATCTCTGTATCTAAATAATTTCACATATTTTCATCGTTTACAGCATGTTGCAATTGTTTGTAGCCTTGTGGGTATGTACAGTATACGTCATTTCAGTAAGCCACTCTTTGAGAGACAACAAAGCTTCAAGTGAGGATTTTAAATCGATTGCAAATCTTCACCTGTGGCTGTGACCTTTCTTCCATTTGAACAACAGCAATTGGTGTTGATAGAAGAAAAACGTGTTTTTGTAAAAGATTGTGATATTTAGTTTCCTGTTGCTGTTCCTGTGAAATGGCACGTGCTTGTTGTCAGATTGGAGAGTTTCAAGGCTTTGACGGTCCCTGAAAAAGAAAGTCGGGGGAAACAGTCGTTATTCATGAAGTGAGTAAGAGCTCGCTGAGCTTCACCTGCACGCCGTGTTGTAAATCACACCTTCGTCATCATCACGGGAGACCATCTGCTGCTCCCTGCAGGAGAGACAGTTAATGAGTATGTGCCTCTAATGCCACATGAATTATGATTGGAAAAATCGGAAACAATCAAAACAATTTGTCTTTTTGGAGTCAACAGTTGCATACATGAGTTCTAGTGTCGCTGCCTCACACTGATGTCCCTCTTGTGAATGGTTATTGTCAAAACAGGCCAGTTGAGGTAGTCTGTATTCTGAATATAATTAAAACAATAAATTAGTGTCGAACAAAATCCTCCTCACACATTCAGTTCTCCATTTATAATTCTACTGTAAACTACTGCAGGGCCTTTATACACACACAACAAAGACAACCATAGGATGTGGGTCTAATAACCTGCTCAACATGTTAGCAGACAACCTCAGAGTGGCAGTGGGTTGGCTTTGTGAGATGAGATTGAGGTGCTTAAATTAAAGTTACAATATGTGACACGACATAATCCGCTAGTTTAAAAATGATTGCTTCAATTCAACTTTGATGATCCTTGAATAATGAAAACTATAAAACCAACTTTCCAGCAGGTGCAAAGTATTGTTGCATAAAGCTCCTCTTTAATCTCAACGTTTCTGAAAGGCTACATTCATTGTTTTCACAGAGTTTCTCCTCTTCCTCTGCGAAGCAAAACTTCCTGTATTGTAATAAGTATCAGATCGTCTTGAAAACGAAAAGCAGGTCACTCACACCACAGGCTAGATGCAACCTCAGCGGTTTAGGCTACACATGAAACCAGGCCCAGGAGTAATGACTGTACTCGATTGAACATCTTTAGCCTTTATTCATTTTTTTGCCTTCATTTTACATTTTTACTTTTGGTCACTTAATTGTAGTAACAATATAGTTACCTCGAGTTGCATTTTTTTAGGTAATAATGTAGGCACAAGGTTGAAGAAGAATGTATGAAAAAGAAGATTGATTTTATTTCTATTTGTCCATCATGAGTCCAACAAGATCAGTCTTCTTTTCTAAAGACAGGTTACTAGAAACAAGGGAAGTCACTTCATTCTCTTGGTACATTTTGTACCTCTTGAGTTTAACTCATTTGAAAGAAAGACCACTGAACAGATTTGAGAACATTTGTCTTACTGACTTTAGCACTTACCAGTGTTTTACAGTGGGGAACATGATTTTTGGTGCTCAGGAACCACAGAAGACCACGGACAGTAAATTCACTTCCACAGTGCCAAAAGCACAAAACAGGAGTTTATGTAATTTACAAAACACTCAGCACCAGAAAGCAGCTCAACAGAAAGTGTGTGCACATTTATCTCTTTGATGAAACCTTGTAATAATAATAATAACAACCTGATATACGTTTGTTTATTTGACATTTATTTGGTTGCCAGCAGAGTTCACCCTCTGTGACAATGTGCAAGTAGGTTTTACAGACTCATTCTTTTGTGTTGAATCAGACATAAAGAAAACAATAAAATTGCGCACACACCCAGCCAATAGAATAATTGCAACAGTAAGGAAACCTTTACAGACTCCGCTAACATCACACAGTGTGAGAACACTTGTTGTTTGGACTATCATACTTCTTTACTGCAATGCACGTGCAATACATCTTCGAGATTTGTACGATCTAAGGACATCATACACTCAAAACCCTACAATACACTTATTCCTGCAAAGCGACATGCGTTTGTTTTCAACTCGGGGCGGCTCAATGTACGAACGGTTCAACAGCTGGTTTCTGAAAAAGAGAAAAAAAATGTTTTGCACTTCGGACGTTTTATGCAAATAATCATTCGTTAGTTAGATCTGTAAGTATTTTTCTGGGTTTTACCTGCAAACTGATGTAAATCACATTCTCATAATCATCAGGTTGGGAGTCCATCTGCTGCTCCCTGCAGGTGACACAGCCAATCAACACATGTGCCTCCAATGAAATAAAGGTGAAAAAATGTATATAAATAAAGTGGGAAGTCATCTCTCACATGTTTGACTTTGTTTTGTTATTGAAGTATACGGTTGTATAGATGACTTCTGCTGTTCCTCCTCCCTCACACTGATTGCCCTCTTGTGATTGGTTATTGTCACCTGCGAGCCAGTTGACATAGTCTGTTTCCTGCATACAAGCAATGAAGAAATAACACAATATGAATTAGTGTAGCACAATGTCCTCCTCTTACATAAAATCCTGCCTTGATCTTTCCATTATGAGCTTCTATTTCACCCTCACAACCAAAACAACCCCTGTGTTTTCTGATCTGTCATTTAGCAGAGACGGTTTGACTCGCCTTTCACAGGCTTAAGTTGCAGACAACCTCTGTGCAATTGAGGGCTTTTATTACAATATAGACTGGCGAGTACTGTCTCGAATGTATGCCATGAAAAGGTCACCTGTATGTCCTCCTCACTGTCCGTCTTCGGTGTGCACATCCTTTTTTTGTGGAGTCTGAAACACATAAACAGAATCGTGACACTGCTTATGCACTACATAATCACGGTACAGTACGTCAGCAGACCCCTGAGTAAATGATAAAACATTGCAAGGATCTTATTTGCGGTCATACTTTCTGACACATTAGGCCATGTTTAATAAAAGTTTTGCTAACAAAACTTAAGTTAATCTGAGGGCAATGGATGAAACTCCTTATTTACTTCATTTAGTATGAATGTCTGTATTTTCACATGTTTATGTTTATTTAGACATGAGGCGACATTCTGAATGGCCGTCAGATGAACATAGCAGTGGGTAATATTGAAACTACTTTTTACTCCATCACATTTATTTGACAGATCGCTAATTACTTTGCAGATGGAAGGCTCTGCACTTCCACACAGGTGTTGATTACCCTGGCTCTTGGATCTCTAGTCAGGTGTTTTAGGTGGAGCAATGCTGGGTTTTTAGCTGATGTCATTAGAATGATAACAGGGTGAGTTGACCTCTTCAAGCAAGTACAGTAAAAATCAACATGAGGCTGAGGGAGCCGCCACTCAAGCACAGCACTAAGTAGGCACCATAAGGGAAGACACCTTTGGGTAAATGTATCTCACTTTCATTGTTATTCTATTTTTAGCCTTGTGTTGTTATTACTTCTTATACAGTACACATTTTTATTCTTGTTTTTATTCTTATGTTATTTACTTCTATTTTAGTTTACTTATTTTATTAAATGTATCTTACTCTTACTGCTATTGTATTTAGTATTGGTGTTATATTTATTACTCCACTGTTTATATACATTTATGTTTTTACTCTGTTGTTTTCTTATCTTTGATGGGTACATTTTTATCAATCTCTGGCAGAATAATTTCCTTCAGGATTAATAAAAGTATATCTTTTACTTAAGTAACATTTTAATGCATGCCCTTTACTTGTGAAAGAGTATATAGTATTACTACTTTTACTTTTCGTAAAGTATCTAAATACTTGTTATGCCACAGGAGGGGTGCATACATGAAAGGGGCTATAAATACAGCTTACCTTCTGAGGGCGATAACGGTGATCACAATCAGAAGCACAGCAACAGCAGCAATGATCAGCACATCTCTGGTGCTCAATGTTGCCCAATATGCTGTGAAACAAAGGCAGAGTGTTAAAGATGCTGTAATACCTTGTTTTTTGATGCATATCCTACATAACACATGGCGGATTTTTCAAACGGTATCACTATTTGTCAGGACACAAAGCCACTAAACAACCAATATCAACGACATTATCCTACTTACGTTTAATCTTTATCGTCACAACAGAGGAGTTTTGGCTCCCATGTTCATTGGTGGCACTGCATAAATACTGACCACCATCAGCAGGGAGGAACTCAGGCCGGTGTCCCACGTCCATAATATCGTCGTCGTCGTCGTCATAGATTTTAAACCAAGTATAATCCTCCACTGGAGGGTTTGCATGGCTGCTGCAGATCAGGGTGATGGTGCTCCCGAAGTCTACCTCCGTCGATGGTCTGACAGACACTGATGTGTTCTTGGGGCCATCTGAAAGAAAACGTGTTTATGATCAGAGAAGTCTTAGGATAGATCTAATTTCCCATTATCTAAATTATACCGTTTCCATTTCATTCTCACTCTGTAAAGTGTTGATCTTGTGTCCAATACTCACATTGAACATCAATATGTATGACTCCTGAAGCTGTTCCTGTGTGTGTTTTCAGAGAGCAAGAGTAGTTTCCAGAGTTTGTGGAGGACATGTTGCTTAAATAAAGTACAGGTCCTTCCTTTATGGGTTCTCCATTCTTAAACCAGATGAAAGCAGACGAAAGGTTATCGTCGTCACAGACGTTCACGCAGGTCATATTCACAGAGTCGCCTTCCTTCGTCGTTCTGTTTCCATCGGGCCGTGTCACGGAAATATTCAAATCTAGAAGTGCAAAGTACTGCTTCAGTTTCAAACTCTGCAGATTGAAGTGCAGAGAAGATTCACAGTTTATGGAAAAGAAAACTTACCAACAACCTTTAATGTTAAGCCGACTTTACCGGTCCATTTGCCGTCTTCGAGGTCAGTTGTAAATCTGAAGGTATACTTTCCTGCATCATGATGCTCCACGTGGTGTATTTTTAAAGAACAGTTGTGTTTTTTGTCACCAATATACTGGAATCGTGTGGTGACTTTTTTTGAGTTGCTGTCATAAATGTAACGACCCTTGGAATGAGACTTTACATGACCCCACTTGAATCTTTCCCCACTGTGGTTGTCAGGATAGTAAAACGAACAAGGAATGACAACGTACGAGCCATTCACTGCACAGACACGTTGCTGGTGGTATTCCACTCTCCGTGTATTGCAGAGGACACCTGAAAGAGACGGATCTATTCATATCCTGCGAGGTTTTAATCATTTAAATAAAACATTAAATGAGATGTAAATGTTTTACTTACCAGCCAGAAAGAGTGGCATCAGTGTCCATCTCATGTTTCTATTTTCAATGCGCATGCTTCCAGTCAAATGGTTACAATCTAAAATGTTTGTAATTGGCTCTGCAGCTATTGTTGGTCTTCTATACTCAAAATACACAGTGAACGAATTGTGTTTTCTTCATCTGTTCTGTAAACACAGCTTCCTGTAACAGAAAAAATAAGGTCTTGGTCGCCCTAACAAGCCGAGAACCTTTCTCAGCTTGTGAAATTAGGTCACATGCACAGTCTGTGCACAGCTTCAGCTTTTTCTTGTTAACCAGCCCCGGAATGAAGGAAACATGCGTTTGGTGCCTATGCCCGGTATTATGTTGCTTTGTTGTGGTCAAAGTACAGTCATATCCGAACTGTCGCTCTGAAACAATGCACTAACCTTGTTACTGTGACTAAGTGTTTTGTATGGTTTCTTTTTTTTAATCAATTTTCTACTTCTGATAGTTGGTTTATAAAAAAAAAAGCACTTTCCAATGTAACAAAACAATAAGATCATGTAAAATACAGTGAATTTAGGAGTAGCCTGAAAACTAAGAAAAGCTGACGTGATTCCCTCTCAACACGACAACATTAACATGATATTCGGTTTTTTCACAATAGTCTGTACACATTTTGGAAGTAGCTACTTTCACGGGACTTATTTAACGGCAACAAGTGATCAGACCTCCATTGGAATATTTCCCAATCCCAGTTAGAGAAATACAACGTTATGACAGAGTGATGCCTTTGAGTTCAACATCATAGATGAGCAGATCCCCCCCCCCCCCCAAAAAAAAGGTTCACCAGGCGAGTATGAGGCATGTGTGAATCGCCCCCCTCGGCGCCAGTCTTACGTGGACGAAAACGCGAGGATGATCGCGGGGGTCCCTATAAAGACTGAAGCTGAGAGCGGAGGAAACGAGAAGGACCAGTCAGTTGGAGGTGCGCAGGACGAAGCCTCAGTGCTAGACGTGGAGATGCCCGCTAAATTCGTGTTCCCCATCGTGGTCGTCTACTTGCTGGTGGCTTGCAGTCCAACGGAGGCATGGTACAAGCAGATGGCCGGCCCAAGCTACTACTCTGTGGGCAGGGCGTCCGGCTTGCTGTCCGGCATCCGGAGGTCACCGTACGTCCGGAGAGCCGAGCCGGACCAGTCAGACAGCGACGAGTTGGCGACCGACAACGCGTTTCCTGAATTCACTGCGCAAAATTTCATCTTGAAGACGATGGTCAGTGGTGATCGACTTTATAAACATGGGTTGGGTGGGATCGCCATTACGCATGGCTATAGCTCGCGCAAGAGGGGTACAAATTGAAAATGTCGTTAATCCTGAATAACCCATTTAGACTAAATTATTGTAATTAAGAGTCTATAAAGGACCACACTTTTTAATCACTGCATAAGTTTTCTTTAAACCAGAGATTATACATCTATTCAACTACAAGAAACAGTTTTATCAAAGTAAAAGCAAGCAGTAAAAATGCTCATTTTGCACAACTAATTATGTTTTATTTACGGATACATAAGTGAAGCATTTTTATAAATTTGGTAGAGGTCAAGCTAATTTGATATGCTTTTTCAATCTATAATAATGCATCCCGTTGTACAACCTGACTTCATGTTTTGTAAATGTAAAATGTTGATATTTAAAGTTACTAGTAAATACAACTCTCACAAATGTAATATAGTACAACATACAGTACTTCCCATTGAATGTGGAGTGGAATAGAGTAGCTTAAAATGTAAACACAGGGACATCAACCACCACCATGTCAGATTCAAGTGTACAGGATTTAAAGGTTACATTTCTCTAATGTAACGGCATGACTTTTCCGTTCTCTTTCTCCAAACAGCCGGTTTGCATCAAAGACATTTCACCAAACCTGCAGAGCTGTGAACTCTTCCAGGAAATCAAGGGTTCGTTCAAGTGCAAAGCGGACGTCTTCCTCACTCTGGACTCGGCAGACTGTGCAGGAGACCGAGCAGCAGAGCAGACAGATCGGATGGATGACGAAGCCTTCATCTTGAAGGCGTGACATTTAAGAAACTGTACATGTCTCTAAGTTTAACATGACTAATGCTGTACTAGATGGAAGATATGTTTATTGATAAACCAGTTTTAAACTTTACGCTGTAAAAGTAATGTATTAATGTAAATATTTGATCTGAGTTTTCATTAATAAATTAATCATAATGCAACCCCTTGTTGAAATTACTGAATGCAAAACATATTACAGGGAAATCATTTTTTTTTTTTGCCATTTACCTGTATGAACTAAATCACTGCAGTTTTGCCAACATGGATATGTACTAAATGTCATTTTAGTAATTAATTCAGGTATGGACGATTAAGAAGCATTAAATGTGTAATATTTAAACCAGGAAAACAATGATTAAAATTGGAGCATTCTTCAAAGTTATAGTTAACATGCATGTCTTAAAACCAGCTCACTGATAGGTTAAAGGATTAATGTGCATGCTGAACATAATAAGGTTTTATCCAGAATAGAGAAAATGCTGTATAACCAGGAAGAGATATAAACAGCATTAAAAAGGACCAGGCTTATCAATAAATATTTTATTTAAAGGGTTTTAAAAAGTGCAACATTATTATGTTAAATTATTAGCTACTAAAATAACTTATTTTAAAATAAACAATTTGGCTAAAAACAACCAAAATTAAAATTCCAGCACTGAATGACGAAACACAATCTAAACAGACACTCGGGGACTTTTACAGCAGCTGGACAGCTGCTAGATTCCCCTTCATAACCTGATCTATGACCATGTGGAAGACCACCTGTACGTTGGTGGTGTCTGTGGCCGTGGTGAAGTGGTGGTACACGAGTTTGTCTGCGCTGCAGTTACATGATGAGAACATGGCAGCGATGTGGTGGGCTGCAGCGTCCACGTCACCATCGGCTCCTGGTTGGGGACAAAGGAAGATAATTTCAAATCTGGAGACATCCGACTGAGTTCAGTGAAGTGAGGAGTTGGTTTAACAACTGTCTAAATTACACAGAGTCAGTCTGATTCAGTAACTATGGATAAAACAAGAATCTGGCATCCGGGGACAATCTGTACATACATTTTCCCCCCCGCATTCGCCACACACACAAATAAAACATGACAAGAATTCACTTCTCAGTTGCTGTAAATGAATCTGAAATATGTACAACCATGAGCGGGCTTGAATGACTGATGTATACACATGTACAGTGGAATGTATGTGAAATCCAGAAGAAATAGTGAAATTTGACAGTTCTCTGGTGTCATACCTTTGTAACTAGAGAGGTAAAATCTCAAGTGTCTGTCAGAGTTTAGGATCTTGTCCCGGAAAAGGTCCGTTTTGTTCATGAGCACAATCTGTAGAACAGAGAGAGGACAACAGACTGAAAGTCAACAACATTCAAATAACACTCCGGTTGGTGTCTTTCAGTTCAGTTTCTTCAACATGATTTATGTGCATCACATTCACAACATTAAGGTATTAAAGTGCTTCATCTCCCTGAGGCTCAATACTGTTAGCTGGTAGTTTGGCATGTAACATCAGAAGTGTTGTGAGATTTTCATAAATAAAATATCTCCATACTGTATAATAAATAAAGTTCAGACTCGTTCACATGATTTTGAGTTTGCTTAATATACACCTCTACCGTTTTATACCACCTCTATTAATACAATGTCTTCACACTGCTGATAGGAAAAACAATTGGCTGCTCATTTAAAAACAATTGACATTTTGAAAATGATGCCTGATGGAAATGACCATAAGATAACCCTTCAATGCTTCAAGTGCCGATATAAATACTACTGACCGACAAGTGAGTCATTCATGGCGACACAAATCGCCCCACAAACACACATGAAAGAAATCAAACTAAATAATGACGGCGAGTGTTGAACAGTGCTCGCAGACAACAAAAATTACCAACCCTACATCTCAATTAAAGTTAGTTCGCTAATTACGGATTTCTCAGTCATGAGCTTTAAAAACAGACAGTCTGCATAACGCACAGAGGCATCAAACACAAAGCTCTGAAGTGATGCCCTATTATATTCTAAGCATTATTATCTGTAGGACAGCCATCTAAAATAAGTGCCATTAAACTTACCAGTGAAGTGCTCCCAAAGACTGTGCTGGTGCAGATGGATGTGAAAAGTTCAAGACTTTCCTGCAGTCGATTCTAATGAAAAGGAAAATGTGGAAGAGGAGAGTAGAGAGAGGAAATCGATGTAGTTTGCACCAAATTTCAGATGAACTCTATTCTGCCAAGTAAGTAAAGAAATGGCATGACATTTGATTCAGTCTTTTTCACAACATACCCCTGAAGGGTCCTCCGTCTGTGTCATGTCATAGCTGCTGAGGGCCACGACGAACAGCACAGCCTGAATGCAGTCGAAGCAGCTGAGCCACTTCCTCCTCTCACTCCGCTGGCCCCCGACATCATACAACCTGTCCATAAGACTTTATTCAGCACACCGGTTACATCCAAAATATGTTTCATCCTAAAAATCACTCAAATTGATTAATAAAGACAAGATGGTTCAAGGTTCAGTTATTGTCATTGTACAATGAAGGGTTGCACAACTAAATGCAGTGGTAGTCTCCATTTGCTACATGAAAAAAAACACTAAAAGAAAAAATAATTCCTCCACTTAAGATCTGTGTTAAACTCTCCACAGACTGGTCCCATTGGAGTATTTAAGAGTTAAATCAAAACATACGCATAAATTGCTTTGTTCATCTCTGGAAAAGACAACAATCTCTAACGGTTAAAGCCTTTTTGTTAAATATACTATAAATAAACATATTCCTAGGCAATATATGTTATATTAAATACTGATATTACTTCAAACACATTTCAAATATTGGGGAAATCCATTTGAAAAAGTGATGTGGCACCCAGTGAAGCCGAGGGTCTTGGTGACACAGGTAATGAGTTTCCATTTGGGCCAGACGGCCTCCAGGTGCGTGATTGCAGAACGGATGTCGGAGGCAGCGAAGCGTTTATCCCCCTGGGTCAAGAATCAGTGTCAACAAGCTGAGAGACAATAAACCCCCAACTATGGCATTTGACAGCTATAGTTTCTGTGCTGCACAAAATAAGTGTTTTCTCCAGATTTAGCGGAAGCTCAAGATCAGACCTGTAAACTGATCGCTGGCTCTGAGGAACTAACGATGTTGAATTGAAGTATTTAGTCGAATCAGCCGAAGACGTACGAGACCGACTCTTAAAACGGTTCCACACATCCTTTTCAGAATTACATTACGCAAGTTTTCAGGAAAAATTAAAGACCTTATGCCTATAATTTAATAAAATGGGAGCTGGAAGGCCAGATAATCTGAATAATAAACACATGTTGCATATAAGCAACAAAGAACATTACTATTGCATCACTGATTGTATTTAATACTAAAATTAAAAAAGACACAGGACAACTACCTTGGTAGATTATGTTTCCCCCCCCCTCCCCAAATGACTGAGCATCAACAACATAGGTGAAGACGGACGCCAACAATCTAAACATGTTCTGGATTCGGACAAGGCAATCGCATGCGTTTCTCTGCATGCGTGGGGACGTACGGGGGTCCACGTTGGGATAGCGGGCCGTTATTGATCGACTCGGCAGCTGGACGGACGGCTCCACGGCAGCAACAGTGAGTCAACCATCTCTGCGTGAATCTGTTAGCACGTTAGCAGAGCAGCAGCAACGGTTCTCAGCTTGTGTAATTAACTGTATAATCGTTTCCACACAGTTTCAGCCACGACGCCGGGGAGATCGTCTTCCGTCGAGTGAAGCGTTTAGAGACTTGTTGCGTACACTGGTTGCATGGCAACTAGTGGCCTCTCGTGAATTATGTTCTGCCATCAGAGCCGGTGCCGTTAGCTCGAGTCAGTGATTTCGGTTCAAGTGAGATAGAAGATTAATATTTAGTTTTATGTGTGCACTTTTCCCGTGAGGCCCTCAATCATATCCTTGTTCCCTAAATTGGCACCTCGTCGCCAAAACTTGGAAACCCACTTATTATTCCTGGAATAAGCAGGCAGCGTGAAGCCATCAATATTTCATGTCCGAGTCATACCTCAGCTCTGAAGACACCTCTAATAGTCTCAACACGCTGCTTTCTAAGACAGCAAAATAGTCGCATGTTTTGTCGTGTAAAAGTTATGAAATCCAAAGAGCTTATCTGTACCTTAAAAGTAAAATATTGTGTCAATAAGTAGAATACGATGCTTTCAGTGAGCCCAGTGTGGATTGTTTACCTTCACACTCTCATTACACAGCGTTATGTTAGCTTAGAGTTATGCGTGTGCTGCACCATATCATGTTGCAACCACCGCCGTCTATGCGCAGCCAGTTTAATAAGTCTTACCGGAAGATAATTTCATTAAGTTGAAACTGCGTCTCAATGATTCCACAGGTCCTCACTCGCACTCTCAGAACATCAGTCTCCGTGGGAACGTATTTGGGAGCGATGATTCGACTAATGTTTTCGAAGAAACTGGAGAGGGAATAGAAGAGAACAAACATCACTAACGGAGGAGACCAGCGTCTCACAAAGTCTATTGTGAGCAGTTGCTGCTTTTGTCAAGACACGTTTTCTTCAAATATCAGGCCGAGATAAATCAGACCATTAGTGGCAGGAAAGCTTCATCCCTCACTGGTCAGGCAACTATTCGTTACATTTACATTATTAATTTAGTAAGTTTCGTGATTAAGAGGCGTCAATTCCACCTTATGGTTATGTTGAAGGGTGTAAGTTATGGTGCAGTTGAACTGAAGTGGAGAATGAGTGGAGACACTGGGGACTCAGCAGCACTGGGAGGTCGGCGGTCGGGGCTGATCACTTCCAAGTTTGAAAAATGAAAATAATCTGGAGGTGTGGAGAAAGAAATAAGTGAGTTCACCAGACGTCTGGAGCCCGCGCCACATTAGCCCCTACTAGCATTCGGGTGTGCTAGCAAAAGCACACGTTTCTTTTACTCACTGCAGTAACTTCCTGTTAATAAAGCTTGTGCGGATTAGAGTGGATTTCTAAAAATGCGATACATCAATAGTTAACTTCCTGGAACACATTTTTTTCTAGCATCCTTGACAGTCCAGTTCAAACCAGAGCTAATGCCCGAGAAGTAATTTTACACATTAAGGTGCCTTCAGGTCCTGAGGAAGTCAAGTGTGTCACGACAGAGTCTGATCCGATATTTCTGGAGGGAGAAATCAATGTCGAGGTCCAGCAGAGTGAGAACACCACGAGACAGTCGAGTTTCCCATCATCATCCTCCGGCTCCCAAACCTATCCAGTTTCGATAATGAAGCGGTCACATTGTCTTGCGCAGTCTAGCTAACTGGAGAACCTTTTTTTTTTTTTTTTTTTTTTTTTATTAAATAATGAACAATGGCATTCAGCAAAATATATTCTACACTTCAATCAATGACCCACACTTCAGCTGATGACGCAACACACTCAAACGGATCTATGCAGAGCGGTGCAGGCTGCTTTTTTCCCCCTCTCGTGCACAATTCAAAAAGGGCACAACTGCTGAAGGACAGCAATTGAAAAAAAATAAATAATTCTGCCCACATAAATACAAAAATGTCCCACAAAACGGAAAAACAGGCTGTCTGTATTCCAGTAACTTCTGTTTCATAGTGATTGGACATACTTTGCAGTGAGATGTAAAGCTTTAAATTAAAAGATAAAGTCACAGATGCAACAACACCTCTACAGCAATTCCTCTCACGTACGATTCTGCTCGACTTCTTACTAATTAAACAACAAAAACGACTCTTTAATCGAGTCCGTTTCATCTGCTCCACCCCAATTTCCACCTTCCTGGGTATCTGCAAACAGTGCTTTTTTTAAATTTGGTTCCAATTAAGCCTCCCATTGCACAAATGTCACAGGAGTCGTTTCCCGAAGACGGCTTTCTCTCAGCAGTTGCTTTACCGTCGCTCTGTATTGATAAGATGCGACGACGACACGCTTCTTAATGGGCAATTTCCGATGACATTTCCACCGTCCCTTCATCACTGGGCGGCATTGTGAAAAGTAGATCACTTGAAGCCATTGTACTCACTAGAGCGCAGAGTCATTCAGCTCAAACTCGTAACCTCTGGCTGCAGCTGCTTGCACTCCTTGGTCGGCCCAAAGCGCACAGACGGCGTGAGCCATAAACGGAAGCAGTTCATGGTCGTCCCCCAAACACTGATTGCAGGACAGGATGGAGCGGGCGCGCATCTACAAACACACGGGACAAGTTATCATCAGAAAAGGACACTAATTTATAT